TTACCAGGGTTCAGCTGAAGCCTGTTGTCCCCCATCCAGGCCCCCACAGCCTCCAGGCACCCACAGCCTCCAGGCAAATACTAAATTGCATTTCTTGCCCTATATCAGGGGAGTAACACACACACACACACTATACACGCAACACACAGAGAGACAGGATTTTATGCAAACGTCTTGATTACAGCTCCCGGGCCTGTCTAAAGTTGGGAACTTCCTTCCAAACTGGAATTTTAATGTGACAAAAGGTAAATACTATTCTATACATATTTACTATACATATTCATTGTATTTAATTAAATAAGCTTCAGCTAAGTGTAAGTTAAATTAAAGCAAATTTATGTTTGACCCTGTCCTTGTCCACTTCTTCATCTGATTCTCCTTGCTCTTAGTAGTGCAACCCCTGGAATAACATTCAAGGCTCAGAGAAAGTTCTGTAGCCTAAAACACTATTTCATTCATTTTTTAAAATAACCATACAGACCTCACAAAAACAGAGGAATGCATGAAAGCATTCAGGTAATTGTTGAAAGTTGTGGAATAGACATCTGTGGCCAGAGAGGCAGGAGATGTTTAAGGTTTATACTTTTCCTCATCCCTTTCCTATGGATGATTTCCTCACCTTCAGTGCTTCCATTTTCACAACCCTTTCCACTATCTTAGCATACATCAAAAAATTCCAAAAGCCCACATTTTTTTCTATCCTCCCAGCAACTTCATTGTTCCCCACTTCCTGTTTCTTTGATTGTGGAACAAAAACTGCTTTCCTGGCATCTTTTTGATACTAAAGGTTTGCATGAAAGTTCCATCTTGGACATTGAATGCATAGACAAAAACAATTCCAATGTATTGCCCATACTGTAAGTCCTGTATTCAGCAGCTTCAGCAAGACCTGCACAAAAGGGTGTTGTTGTTTTCACTGGTGACATAAATTCCTTGAAGGAGTTATCTCTAATGAGACAGAGTTCAAAGGGCAAAGGAGCCCACGACCTGCACATGAGGCTGTGCCTGGCCCATCCTCTGCTATGCCTTACCCAGAGTAGCAGATCCTTCAGAACCTTCAGGAATGCAGGCAGCTCAGGATTCAAGGTCATAGGCAGAGAGCTGCAAGAGAGTTTGGCTGCAACGAAGGACTCCTCAAGAGCAAGTCCTTGATCCTGCACATTCCTTCTAGGTGGATAGTCTTAATAGTGTTGAATGAAGCTTTGGGGGTACAGTCTTTACTATAAAGCAGACCTTGGATGAAATAATGCCTGTGTTCACATACAACATGCAACCCAGATTAACATACAGTAATTCAGCTCCTATGTTCATATAACATGCAGTTTTGGCTTAATTGGATGGCCTGGATCATACCATATAATGAGACTCTTGCTGGGTTCCCACAACACACTGAATCACAAATTACTCAAGCCCATTTTAGCCTAGTTGAACAGGTTAGGCAAACTCAGCCAATATAACAGTCTTGCTGTTCTGCTGTAACAGAAATGGTGGAAGAAAGCAATCTTATGTGCTTGGAGGATGCACTTAACATTTTTGGGCTGTAGTGGGATATGGTAATAATGCAAAATGAAGCTATGCCCATTTGTTTTCTGGGTTTCTTTTAAGGGAGAGGTTGGCTGCTTGGGTTTAAAACTGTTAGGTCTGTTCTAAGGCTTGTATTATAGTTTTCTGCTTCAAATTCTTAGAAACCTTTTCTGGTCTGTTGTAGGTTACCTGAAAGAGTTTCAGAGGATGCAGCACGGCATTCGGAGGCCCGTGAAGCTCTTAGCCTGCCCCTGGTTTCTCAGTGCTTGAGCCTGGTCCTCTTTGTGCCTGAACTCATAGCATTTTTGGACACTGCCTGTTGCTCACACTGTTGTTAAACTTGTGTCCTGGCTTGGTTGCTGACCTCTGGAGTAGCTACTGATTTAGTCTTTGCTCCTGTCCTTCGGACTCATTGCTTTTGGTTTCTGTGACATGATTTATAGACTGTTGATTGGCCTCACTTTGCTGTTTGTTCTCTCAAAGCTTAAACAGGAGAGAACAGAGATTATTCAAAGTTTTAGCATTATTAAACAATTCTATTGTTGGGATTGACAAATTCAACCTTCTAAGCCGGGTACCACCCAGAGGCAGCCAACGTAAAACATAGCTGTGGGCAAGGCAGCACATGCAAACCAAACAAAACTCTTCCCCCCTTTCCCTTGCCGTCATGAGGAAACTTCTGATCATGCGTTTCTAATGCATGCAGATTCCCAGGAAAGTGGAGCCTGGGGATTTGTACCAAGATGCTGATATAATCAGACATGCATGTTGAGGCGAAAGATAGCAGTGCTGACAGCTTCAACCTGGCATGTAATCATCAATGGCAGCTCTCACACAGCTCTTAAAGCAGGATTTCCTCTCCACCTCTGTTCCATAGTAAAACAAGGAACCATTCTAAGGGCAACAAACCTAACTGGGGCCTCTCAAAAGGGAACTTTTCTTCTGTATAAGCACTCTGTAAGATAACACACTGAATGGTTGAACAAGCCAGTATCTACGGTTCATTTAGGGAAGAGTTTCCCAATCTGGTATCCTTTGGTTGCGACAGAAGTGAGGTCCTTGACAATCAGTCAACTGCTTTGGGCCACATAGGGTGGGGCCTATCCAAAGTATGACTGATTATTTCAAGATGGAACAATACATTTCACTGAAGGTAACAAAACTGATAGTTAAAATATTAAACATAACGTAAAAGTTATTTAATATTTTGGGTTTTCCTACACTCCAGTTTACAGAGCCATTGAATATAACAGATGAAAGGAATCAGCGCATTGCCATTATTATATCATTCATTCACACCATAGTGCACTCTCTCCACATTAATATTAATAGTTTCTCCAAACTCATGCTAATCACCAATGTACATCTGCCCTTCATTGTTTTCAGCCTCACAAAACCAACTGTCTCTTTGGTATGGTCTCAGAAATCCATTAAGTTACAGTATCACAGAAGTGTGAAGGTTCTGGATCAACAGTAGCAAATCACACTTCTACCATCAAAAGGTCAAGTGAGGTACTCCATAACTGATATCAGAAATCAGAGACTACACAGCATATGTAATACTCAGATGCAACATAAAACCTTTCCACACGGACATTAAAAAGTAAGAGTGATTATAAACAAACAACTTTTTCAAACTGAAAGGACTTAGATAACTCAGCATTCTTTTCCTTCCATCTCTCTTGTGCAGAGTTACAGTATATCATTTTCGATAACACCTCAAAGACAAAAACCTGACTTCCTACTATCAGCATTTGTCAAAGCACATATGACAGAACAGATTCAAAACTACAAGGCAACTATTATCACTTTAGCATTAAAATAATAAACAAAGCAAGAACCTCTAAATAATTCTATTGGCTCTTCCCTATCAGCAAAATTCAAGAAGCTATGGAATAACTGTTTAATAAATTCATTTACTGTGTTCATAACAATCTAATTCACTCTGTATTTCCACACACGGATCTCTGATTGGTGAAGGACTGAGAGATAAGAGCTAGCCTGGTCAGCTTCCTATAATCAAAACTGGCTAACCCATATCCCATTTCTGAGGAGGCCATATTTGAAACTTGGAACAGACAGCAAAGTGTTTGCAACAATTATTTCAAAAGATTTGAAGATGTCAAAACAAACATCCTACATATTACAAGATACTAGAGTGTCTGCCACAGCCATGTTTGGAAGATGGTTTGCAGAGTTTGCCTTTTAGGATTTGCTTCACATTAGAATTTGTTTATTGGAGAATAATCAGAGCTATAGGGGCCCTGGATTATCAATCCTTCTGCCCAACTTCAAGAAAGCAGGCTATGAAAACAATACAGAGGACAATAATTTGGGTACCTTGAATTCCATGGGCTTTATAATTCATAGCAAGCAGAGTTACCAAAAATAAAGAACATTTTTTTCTTCTTTGTTTTAAATACAGTCACCAAACAGACTGTTACAACATGCCTACAAAATTAAACGTGTTAGCCTTGAAAGTGTCACAAAGGAATGTATAAGAAAGACAGAGAATCCAGAAATTTGCTTATACAATGACAACATGGAGTATACATGCATTTTAAATATTTACACACACACACACACTCCATAATATTCTTCATATGCATTCAAGATGCATCCAAATTAGCAGTTCACTAGTTCCAGAAAACCAGGAGACTTCCTTTACCGTTATAGACAATTGTTATACGGGGGGTGGCATCCAAATCCGCAGAAGACAGCCTGGAAGGATATCCCATTACTGTGGCCACAGAGAGACCCATCAGATAAAACAGCACATTCTCTCTCATTTTCTTGGTCAACCAAGGCTGCTGCTCACAGGGCAAGACAGCCCTTTTCTACAAATTTGCCTTAGATGCTTGGAAGTTTCCTGTCGATTCTACATGTGTCATCACAGCTTGCGAAGAAAATCCTGAAATACAAAATGAAAGCTTTAAAAAAAAAATAAAGCAACATTCCAGCACTAATATAATGTGTCTAATCTAGAGATGGCATCTCTCAAGTCAAACATTTGCTATAAAATTAACCAGTATCTTTTAAAAGGTAAACATCATTCAGCCTAGCTATGGGCTGATGCATCTGAATATGTGGAGTTGCACAGCAGATTGAATTTGCCCTCCAACTTCTCAAAATGGAAAGATACAAATGATAGCCTGAGTACTTTGCATGGTATATCCTTGGCTTCTATATGACTACAACTTGATTTGTAGATACAGTGGCCATATTTTCTTGGAAAAGATAAAGGACAAACCTGAAAAAGGGGCAGATCTGAAAGAGGTTCATAAGGATTTTTTAAAAATTAATTGTTTATGTTTATAACTTTGCTTTACAAAGGAAAATTCAAGG